ACATCCCAACGGTGAGCGGGTCAGTGACAGGACACGTGGCAAAGCCAAGGGAACCATCCTATCAAGAACCCAGGTGGTTTCTGCTGCGTTTCCACGCTCCTGGCTCAGAGGGGTTTGGGTCCCCGAGTTTCCTGTTGTGAGAAGCTGCATCGCTGTGTTTCAGCCGCATCCTTCCCGGACGCTCACAAGGGCCTGGCCGTGTGCCCGGAGGAGTTTGCCAGCCACTGGAAATGACTAGAAGGATTTATAAAGCATCCACAGGCTTCCCAGCCCATTGCTGTCTCCTGTGGGATTCAGGCACCGCCTCCTGTGGGATTCAGGCACTGGTACCATGTAGCCTGTGGGCTATGCAGACCTGAGCATCCTGAGCATCCCAGTGGCACCAGTGACCCAGGATGGGGAAGCAGCACCAAATCCAGGGTGATACCTGCAGGAAAGCTGGGGCTCACTGTGCTTTTGTGTCTCTGTCTCCTACTCCCTCCCTTCACCTCCCCGAACCTCAAATCCAGACCTAAATGAGCACTGAGAGAGTCGGGCACCAATTTCTTGGCCTCACCTGCCCCCCGTGATCCCAGGGGAACAGCTCCTTCCCAGGGTGAGGGCTGAGCACGTCACTGCTCCCCAGGGCTTTGCTGACCCACGTTGAGCTGAGCAGTGCTGAGGAGAACCTAATCCCCAATTAGGGCCTTTGTGTTGACTTTCTGCTGCCAGCTCCAACTTCCCAGTCATTAGCCTCCCCAAAAAATCCCATTTTTCATATCTTGCCCCTCCTTGGATGGCAGCAGAACCAGTTCGAAAAATATTTTCACACACAGTTATGGAGCATTGTCCAAATAATCACAGTGAGAGGGAGAGTATCAGTTACCCTCTGGGGAGAGGAAAGTAGAGGAGGAAGGTGAAGAGGAAGGTTACCTTCATCCTTCCTGCTCTTACAGTCCCAATCCTAGAGAAGAAGGAAATTCCAGGAGCTTCCTAAAGAACCAGCCCTTCGTGCAGGGCCCTGGAAAGCTTCCCCCCCTCTCAGAGAGCCCCAGGGCCGGCAGTGTGTGGGGTACCCAGCTGGGTACAGGATACTGGGAGCTTCGTGGGGAGAGCAACTGGCTGGAGCTCAGCTCCTGGGAGATCCAGGCACAGGGAAGGGGAGGCAGAGAGGCTGCCATGTCCCAGGAGCCCCCCATGTCTGATCCCTGGGAACTGAGATCTCGAATGTCACCTGAGGGTGATAAAACACGTCAGCTCCTGCTCCGGCATCACGTGTCCCAGCAACCACAGGAGCTCCTCGTGCCAGGGCGGCACGGCCTCGGTGCAGCCGGTGCCTTGGGGTGTGCTCAGCCATCCTCTGCCCCAATTTCCGTTGCCTGGCTGGGACACTGAGCCCTGGCTGCTCCCTCATTACTCATTAACGCCTCCATCACACACAGGTAGCCGGGACAAGGTCCTCCCACATCCGCCTCGGGCCCCTTTGAGCCCCGCGGGTGCCGCTTCCCACCCTGCTCCACCCCATGTGGGAGCTGCTCCCTCCAAATCCCTTCTGCAGGAACCAGAGCCGGAGCTCCTACTCTCTGTTTCTTGCCCCAGGATATGGAAAAACCCAGCGCGGGCACTCGGGCGGCAGTGACCCCGCCAGCGATCGTTGGGATGCGGGGACTGGCTGTTGTGATGCTGGAAATCAGCTCAGTTGTAAAAATGGGGGGTTTAAAAGGATGTGCGGGATGTAAATGTCATGGGAAGAGTGGAGGCAAAGGGCTCCTTGCTGAGGTGCCAGGCACAGGGAGATGGGATGAATAAATAGCAGAGATCACTCCCTGCCCGAATGCCTCGTGCTGGAAGGGACGGCTCTGTCACAGCCCAGGAGCATCACCCGTGTCTGTGGTGTCCTGGCCTGGTGGCCACAAGAGGCATCTCCTACTCCTGTGTGAGCATCCTGATCAAAAGGGAAAAACCTGCAGGAATGTCAGCACAGCCTCGCTGCCCGGTGTGCAGGATGTCACGGACACGTCGGATGATCTGCCCCATAAGTGGCCCACAGGCTGGAACAGGCTGATTGCCAGTGGCAGCCCCAGACCTGGGGTGTGAAATCCCCCCGGGGGTGGCACGGGGGGCACATGGACACAGCGGGGTGCTGGGGGAGCTGCCGTGGGAGCTGCCAGGGACAGGCAGCCTTGAGGCAGATGTTTAATCCCAGTGTCTGGGCTGAGCAGAGATAAAGCCAAAGGGGCACAGTGTGGGACTGGCTGTGCTGGGGGGGATTTTAGTGCTCAGTCCCTGCAGCCAGACCCCCCATCTGACCCTGCTCTGCTCCGCTGGCTGGGCCAGAGCATCCCTTGGGAGCAGCTGTGGCAGGAATGGCGCTTTCCTCATCTCACTCCCCACAGGGAAAGCAGGACCCAGCACCCAGATAAGTGGGAGCCGCTGGCGCCTGTGGCACAGGGACACGGTCTGGCCCTGCTCCCATGGAGCTCCCAAGGTCCCTGTGGAGCAGACGGTGCCTTTGGACTCTCCCTTTCACCCCTGCCTCAGCTGGGCACGTGCCCACACTGCACTCTTCTTCCTTATCCTCCTCCTTCTCCTCTTCCTCATCCTCCATCCCTGCTGGGTGACCTCACCTCCCTCTCCAGGATCTCCCTCGAGCCTCCTTGCCTGGGCTGGTGCACTGGGAATTTTGAGATGGGTCCATGGTGGGTGCACGATGAGCCCCCAGGTGCTCCCAGGACTCGGCCAATGGAGCCAGGGAGAGCCAGGAGTGAGGGCACTGTGCTGGCAGCACTGCCCGGGATCACCGCTGCCTAATCCCACTGGGATCTGGGCAGGTTGGACACCCCATGGTGCCGCCGGCACTGCCAGAGCCTCTGGCTAAGGAGGCCCCAAAGCTGGGAAACTTCCCTGGTACTTCCAGCCTGTCCCTAAAGATTGTGTAGGGACAGCACGGGGACAGAGCCAGCGCTTGCTGTGGCAGCGCCACGGTGGCAATGCCAAGATGGTGGTGCCAGGGTGGTGACGCCGCAGTGCCAGCTCCGTCCCTGCCCTCGGGGCAGATCTGCCCTTCGTGCATGAAGGAAAAATCCACCAGGAAGGGAGACACAGCCCCAGGTCACTGCAGGGCAGGCGAAGTCCCCCCAGCTGCTCTTTGCTCCCCACAACCCCCCTCAGCCACTCGCCGGGGCCGCGTTGGCGGCGCAGCGACCGGATCCGCCGCTGTTTATCCCGGCAGCCGGAACACTCCGTCTCTCAGACTCCCTCAAACTCTCTCCTGCCTTTTGCCTCCCCTCTGGCAGCGCTGATAACTCCCCTCCAGCTCTGTTTACCGGAGCAAAGTCCGCGCTGTTTGGCCGCCCACGGCGTCTCCCCGCACGGTCCTGCCCCAGCCCGTGCCCGCGGCCGTCGGGCTCTGCCGAGCGCTTCTGGGTCTGTCCGTGACACCGGAGCCGCCCGTTGCCTGGTTATATCCACAAAACATCCCCGTGCCGGGGCCTGGGCCGGGGTATCCGCTTACGGAGCACAGAACAGCTGAGCCTCTTCACTCCCCACCCTGCCCTTGGCAGCTCATCACACAAACCCCCAGCGCTGCTGCCATCGTCCCCTCCAGCCCCTACAAGGGGTTGTTGGACCCGGCCCACGTGATGTGCAGGTTTTTTCCCCTTGGCAGTTTCGGCTCTGGATGTATATATTTATACACCCAACTTGTGCGAATTAACAGCATTCCTCTCCGACTGAGTCAAAAATAGAGGCGCTCCGTGGAAAGAAAAGAGAGAGAGAGAGAACGAGAAGGTGCGTCGTGCTGAAAAAAAAGCAACGGGGTCCAAAAAAAGAGAGGAAAAAAAAAAAAAAGAACCGCTGAAATCTCCCTTTTCCTTTTAAAGCTCTGTTCCCGAAGGATGGACGGGCGCTGTTATTTTAAACCTGGTTTCGGCAGCCCCCGGCGAGCCACGGGCAAGGTGTCGGTGACGCGGGGACAGGGTGGCACAGGGTGGTGGTGCGGGCTGTGGTGTGTGTTGCTGGGTGATTTTGGGGCACGTAAGCTGGCGACTTCCTGAGAGGCGAGTGCCAACTTCCTGAGCGCGGCAGGAGCGGGCGCGGGCGGAGGTAGGATCGGGGGGCAACGCCGTGAGGGGTGGGGTGGGCCAAGTGGTGAGCACTGGCTGAGGCACCCATGCCAGCTGGGCAATTTGTATCTAAAATGTGTGTTTTATGTGAGCACATGCTGGCGGTGTGAGGGCCAAAGGGTTGGTTTAGGATCCACAGAGCGGGGAGGATGGGAGTGGGCACCGCTGTGGGGATGGTGGGTGGGCAGAGGTGGAAAAACAAGTCAGTGGGAGAAGGGTGAGGGCAGAGTCGCTGCTGGACTCCCAGGAGTGTGACCGTGGCCGCCATGGGGCTTTGCAGAGTGAAACACCCCCTTCTCCATCCCCAAAACAGAGGGAAAAGGGATCGGTTGTGGGCGGAAGGGGAAGCAGAGGCCGTGCTCTGCCATTACTGGGGTGTTTGCAGGGCCAACCTGAGGCATCTTAAGAATCCTGAGATATTGGTGTTTAAGACACTAATCAATACCGAGGGGATTGTAACACCGTGCTCCCAGCACCCTCACTCACCCGTGTACAGGATGAGGCCCTGGCATTTGCATCCTCTGGCACTTCCTCTTCCATCACAGATGAACCCCCACAGCCCCAGGGGACCCCTCCCGGGCACCCCACTATCCCCATCCCGGCTCACCCCCATCCTACTCAGCACCCTGGCGGGATGGGGACCTGCAGATCCCACGAAAGAGCCGCGGGAAGGGGGGGCTTCGAGGTTGCACAAAACAAACCTCCACCATAAATCACGGGTGGGAACAGCCGGAGCGGGTGGGGGGCTGCGGGGACTGCTCCCTAGGGATGGGGGCTGGCTGCAGCCAGTCCCTGCGGCTGCCTCTGCCAGGGATGCAGACAGCCTGGCCTTCCCCGCCCTCCTCCTCCTCCTCCTCCTCCTCCCCGGGGCGGAGGAAGGCAGCGCCCGCAGCTGGCACTGCAGGCGGTGGCCGGGTGAAGCGGCTGCTCTGGGGAGTCTGATTTCCAGCCCTGTTTATTAATAACCCCCCCCCCGCCCCATGCTAAGCCCATGTGCAGTGCAAAGCCGGAGGCGCTGGGCTCCAGGGGAGGAAGGTAAGAGCCCACCCGGGCTGGGCGGGGAAGGGGCTGATGCCCCCCCGAGAGGGTCCCGTGGGTGCGGGATCCAGGGCGAGGTTGGGGGTGTGGGGCAGGCGAGGGGGCTGCCAAAGCCTTGGGTGCAGGGCTGGGGTGGGGGGATCTGAGGTTCAGCACTCCGAGACCCTCGAGGGTGACCGGGGTGGTCCCTCTGGGGTACCCAGGAGTTCTGGGGTGCCCCGGGATGAGGGGTGGCGGGTGGGAGCGAGCCCCCACGCCCCGCTGGGAAGGCAGGGCTGTGTCCTCCCCTCCCGCCCTGCCCACTCAAAGCGGAGCCGAGAACTTTGAAAAATAAGGGCTGGCACAGAGGAGGGCAAGGAAAAACGAAGCAGAGGAGCCCTTTCCCCACCTTTCCAGGCGCTGCCCCCTCTCCAGCCGCCGGCCGTTGAGTCCGAGGCTGCGATGTGTCATCGGTGCCGAAAACTGCCTTATTAGGAGAGAAAGTATCGGTGAAAATCAGTTCTTTCCTTAAAGCCGTTGCTCCGAGCCGAGGGCTGCCCGCGAGTGCCAGCCTGTGCTCATTCCTTAGGGAATGACTAGACATGAGCTCAGCGGCGTGGCCGAGAGGTGAGAGCATCCTCCCGCCGAACCCACCGGCCCCGGCTCCCGGGAAGCAGCAGGAAAAGCCCCGGCTCGTACCCGGGGGGTGTTTTCTCCGTCCTACCCCGAATAACGCCCGGGCGAACGTGAGACCGAGGATTTGGCGGTGGCAGCTGCGGGTACCGTGTCTGGGGACAATGCCGGGATCGGATGACTCTGCAAAGCGGCTCCTGCTGCAGGCGCTGCCGCTCGCCCGGAGCTGTGCGTGCGGGGTTTGCTCCACCTCAGCCACCCGGGAGCCTGCCTGGGCTCCAGCAGCACATTCCCGTGCCGTGAGGTTATGCCACATCGTTAAAATCCCGGGAAGTTTTAAAGGGAGTGCTCACACCGGTCGCGCCGGTGCCGCCGGGGAGGTTGGCCGGGACACGGTGGCTGTTCCCATTGGCACCGGAGCAGCTCTTGGGTTTGGGGGCTGGGTTTGCATCCCCCCGTGGCAGTCGGTCCCTTTAAGAGGAATTTTTTCCCTTGTTCTGGACAGTTTGGGTCCAAGTTGTCACCGGAGCGTTGAGCACAGCCCTGCCCAGCCCGTCCAGCCTGTGGGTGACATGGGATGGTCACAGCTGCAGCACCCCCAGCTCGGTCTGCTCCGGGGGTCTCACAGGGTGGGAGGAAGGGCTGAGACCTGTTACACTCATTGCTCTGGTTCACGTCTCCTCTCTCTTCCAGGGACATGATGGCACAGGCTGAGCCCCCTCCAGAGCTGCAGCTGGATGAAGCTGGAGCATCCTCAGCCCCTCAGGGAGCAGCTGCAGGTGCTGCTCCACACGTGGATCATCCACACGTGGATCATCCACACACCCCGTTAGACCCATCAGGGGGTGTGGGGGTGACATCCCCACTCAGGGGCAGCCCAGACTCCAGCCAGGAGCTGCAGGCTACCAGCAGGGACACTCCCTTGGAGCTAAACATGCCAGGGACCCAGCTGGACGAGGATGCAGCCGGGGCTGGGATCCCGCTGGATGTGGACGTGGCAGGAGTCCCGCTGGACGTGGATGCGGAAGGAGTGGGGATTCCACTGGATGTGGGTGGGGCAGCGATCCCGCTGGACGCGGATGCAGGTGGGACAGGAATCCCACTGGACATGGATGCAGATGGAGTAGAGATTCCACTGGATGTGGATACAGGTGGGACAGGGATCCCAGTGGATGTGGATGCAACAGGGATCCCACAGGACTTGAATGCAGGTGGGGCAGGGATCCCACTGGATGAGGATGCAGATGGAGCAGCAATCCCACTGGACATGGACACAGACAGGGCAGGGATCCCAGACGATGCAGACACAGACAGGGCAGAGGTTCCACTGGACATGGATGCAGAGGGAGCAGGAAGCCCTCTGGATGCAGACGCCACAGAACATCAGTGCCTGACCCTGGAAGAGCTGGGGAACTACTTCCAAGAGTGCATTGAAATCGTGGAGCAGCTGGAGAAGGAGAGAGACAGCCTGATCTCGGAGCTGGCCCAGCTCCGGGAGCCGGCGCTGCAGGAGATCCGCCATGCCCACGAGGAGATCCAGGCAGCCTGCAGGCTGCTGGCCAAGGTGGAGCTGGAGAGGGACAACCTGAGGGATGAGATCCGGCAGATCAAGCAGAAGCTGTTCAGGGTGACCAAGGAGTGCGTGGCCTGCCAGTACCAGCTGGAGAGCCGGCGGCACGACCTGTCCCAGCACGCCGCCTACCAGGGCGAGCTGGAGACCCAGGCCGGGCAGCTCTCGGGGGAGCTGTCCCAGCTGAAGGAGACCTGCGAGAAGGAGAAGGAGGCTCTGAGGCAACGCCTGGAGGCCCCGCCGTGCCGGCAGGACAACCTGTACCTGCAGGAGAGCCGCCGGCTGTCCGTGGAGTTCGAGAGCTTCGTGGCGCAGAGCCGGCGGGGGCTGGAGGAGCACTACGAGCCCCAGCTGCTGCGGCTGCTGGAGCGGCGCGAGGCCGGGGCCAGGGCGCTGCAGGAGATGCAGGGGGAGATCCAGGGCATGAAGGAGGCCCTGAGGCCCCTGCAGGGCGAGGTCAGCCGGCTGAGGCTGCAGAACCGCAGCCTGGAGGAGCAGATCGTCCTCGTCAAGCAGAAGCGGGACGAGGAGGTCGGGCAGTACCGGGTACGTGCCCTGTCAGGCACCCCACAACCCTCCTCTGGCAGAGCAGGGGTGGTTCTTTGCAGCCAAGGAAATGTGGGTGCTGCAGGTCTTGCACACGGGGCCAAGGGGAGGAATGGGGTGCATGAGGAAGGGGAGGATGTGGAATATCTCCTGCTGGTTGGAATCAAAATTATCCCCCACCGGGCTGGCACGAAGCAGCAGCCCCTGGGCATAAGGCAAACCCAGGGATGGGGTGGGGAAGTTCTGGGGCTTTACCCAGCTTGGAAAATAGGTTTCTCCTGAATATATTCTCCCTTGGTTTTGACCTGCCCCTTGGAAATGGCCCCAGCGAGCAAGGATGAGGTGAAGGGTTTGGAGGGTTCCTTCCCAAAGCTGAGCGATGCTGCTGAGCACAGGCACCACACATTTCCAACACAGGGCTGGGCCAAGGCACTTGGAAAAGCCAGTTTTAAATTAGTGTGGCTTTTCTTTAAAACCCAGTCCTGCCGGGACAGATTCTGCCCTTCCCACTGCCAAGAAGGGTCCCCTCTCCCATGCCCACAGCCCATGGGCTGGGCTGCCTCCTGGGAGGGTTACTTCTGGCTGGACCAGGCCTTTTTTCCCCCGGCACTTTGGTCTGAGGGACAAGGCAATTCAATATCTGCAAGAGCACATTTGGCAAAGAGGCTCCACAATTAATCTCCCCCCCTTTCAACACTCTCTGTTCTCGGCTCGCAGGCGCTGCCTCCTCCCAGCCTGGCTCCGAGCACTTTCTGGAACTGATGTTCCCCTTCCATTGCAGCTCCTCCCTGCTGGAATGGGGACCAGGCCACCAGCACCCATGGCACGGCTTGCCTTGGATTTCAGGGACCACTGTCCCTTGGAGGACAGGACTTTGGAGCATCCCTGGTGTGCCTCCACGTTTTCCTTTTCCCAAATTCCTCATTTATCTCATTCTGACTCATGGGCTTTTACAGTTCTGGCAGCTTCTCAAAACACACACTGAGTAGCTTAGGGGACAAAACCAAGCAGCTGGGAGAAGCCTAGGGACAAAACACATCCCAAATTCCCACCTTTGTACCCAAACAAAGCTTTTTTTGCAGAGGTTTTTAAAGAGGGTGGTTGGGCACTGTCAGCCTGGCTGTGCACCTTCCTCCTCCAGCTAATCCATTCTTTTCTTTTCCCTCCCCAGGAGCAGGTTGAGGAGCTGGAAGACAGGCTGAAGGAGCTGAAGAACGGGGTCCAGCTCCAGCAGCGCAAGAACCAGGAGCTGGAGGAGCTGAGGACGAGCCTCCACAGGGAGCTCTCCATCTACAAGTGCGTTTGTGTCTCATCCCTGTGGTGCAGAGGGGTTGGGAAGAGGAGGAGGATGGTGGGGAAGAGTCTGGGAACACACAGCTGTGGGACACCACGGGCTTCTGCTTCTGGTTCCTGGGGACACGGCTGGTGTGTGACCCAGGGGCCCGGTGGGGCAGCACAGCAGGAATTCCAGCCCCTTTGCCAAACAGCAAATAGGGATTTGCTGGAAATTCCTGCACGCACAGGAGTGGAGTTGCTTCCCAAGAAGCAGGTGTGGCGACTTAAGTGGTGGTTTCCTCAGGAATATGTGGAAAGGAGCTGAGGTTTAGGTTTGGGAAGGTGTTGTGGATGCTCTCCAATGGAAGAGAACCGTGTTCTGCTCATAAAACTCTATGGCTGGGATTTTCCAAAGCTCCAGAACACATCCTGGAGTTTGTGGACTGTTTTACTCACCGAGCCTGGAGCTGTTCTGTTACTCCAATCCCAGCTGTGCACACTCTTAACCGTTTTCTGTAGCCTCACTGCTCCTTTAGCATTCCTTTTTCCCCTTCTCCCTCCAAACCTCCTCACAGGATATTCCCTGCCCCAAATAGCTTTTATCCAGGTAAGACTTCGGCATGGCAAGCACAGGGAAGAGATCTCTCAGCCTGTGTTCTCACCAGATGTATTCAGATCCCACCACCCCCCTGTGTCTGCCGTGTGGGGTTCTCCTAAATCACAGACCAACATTTAATCCCGTGGACTCTCTTTTAACTCCTGGAATCTACAAACTGCCCTTCCTGGAAGCGACAGCACCCGAGGCTTCTCCGGTGTCAGGACACCTTTAATGAGGTCTCACATTCGCTCCAGGGAGCTCAGAGTTAAGGGCAGCTCCGAGCTGCCTCTTCCTGTAGCTCACACCAGAAATGACATTCCCGTCTGTCAAATCCTGTTTGCCAAAGGGCTCTGGAAGGGCTGGGCCAGGCCCACACCCCCCCAAACCCACGCACTCACCGAGCCTCCTGAAGTGCTTCCCAATTTCTTTTCTTCTGTACTGTGAAAAGAATGCTTTCCAGAAATAGCACCCCCCTTCCCTTTTTTCCTCCAGCCAGAGTATTTATGTAAATATTCCATAGCCTAAGTTTCCTTTCTCCCCTTACAGGAGCTGCCTGGAAATCTATGGACACCTTTGCAAATCGGAGGAAAAGGCAGACCAGGACTGTTAGAACTATGGAATTTTCCTCTTTGTAGCAAAAACAATGGACAGAGGATCTACAAGGGATGTCTCCTCGTGCTGCTTATCCTGCCTGAAGCACAGCTGCTGCCTGGAGTCAGGAATACCAGACAGTCCTTTCCCTGGGTGTGTTTCTCCAGGTGCTGCTGCTGCTGCTGCTCATGTAGTAAAACTGCTTTTCCACAGAGGAGCAGAGCAAACAATCCTTGCACTGAACAATGGACACGGATGAGGAATAACAGATTTATGTTTTGCTGTGTTTGGGAAAACGTATCTTGCCTTGTCCCATAGATGGATTGTTTAAACCTGCACTGAAAGTTCTGGGGGGGTGGGGGTGTTGACTTTTAAAAGTTTACATGCAAGAGAAGCTTTATCCTTTGAACAGGATTTTCTTTTGTATTTCAAGGGTCTCTGCTGTACTGGGATGTGCCCCACAGAAACAAGGTGGTGGGTAAGAGGTTTTCACTTTATATCGAGTCTCACACTGAAAATAAAGGTCAGAGTTTAAGGAGCCTTTTCATTCCCAAAGCTGCGTCTCCAAATCCCGAGTCTGTGTGTCCAACCTGGGTGTTTGTACCAGACTATTCATGCTGCAGATTAACAAAAACAGCTCTGTGGCAGGGGCTGAAGGCAGAGCCAGAAGGCAGACAGGCTTGAGGGGGAAGGAACAGCTCAGGGCTTTTGTGGCTGCTTGGGGATTTTAAGTGCTCATTGACTCATTCCACAAAGAAAACAGCAAAAAAAAAAAAATCTATCCCAGCACCCAGTCTCGTGGGACACACAGAGGTGGAGACCACACCCTTCCTATCCCTGCTCCCTGAACAGGTCAACCTTACCCTGACAGAGCAGAAAAGGCAGGAAGAAAAGAGCACAGAACTCCCCAAAACTCCACGGCGTTTACGTAGAAAAACTTTATTCCAACTGAAGGACTTACACGCAATTAGTCATGAGGAGATGGAGAGTAACAGGCTGCTGGTGGCACGGGACACCCGAGTGGAAGACGTGCAGGAACCAGTGGTCAAGGACTAACTCCTAAAAAAAGTAGTTCATCCACGTTTAATCTGCTCCACACCAGCTGCCAACGCTGCTCAGGGCACCGGGCAGGGCCGTCCGCTGGCACAAACATACACCTTTTACAACTTGGGGGTCCCAAGTCTTAAAAACCATTTCACAGAAAGGAAAGAAACATCATGTGAAAAAACACAGCTCGAGAAACACACAATAGAGCAAAAAAAAAAAAAACAACATGGGGAGGGGGTGTGAAGGATGCTCTGCAGGAATAGCTAAAGAATCCGAACCGCTGTGGCCCAGCAGGTGGGAGAAAAGGGAGAGGGAGGAAGGAATGAAAAGCTCAGAATTGCCAGGAGAGACAAAAAAAAAAAAAAGAAAAAAAAAAAACCAGAGACTAATTTCAGTTCGAGTCAGAACTTGCAAGTGTGTTTTGCATCTGCAAAGGCAGAAAAAAATCCACAAGGTACAGATAACTAAAGGAATTCCAAGGCCTCTGAGTTGCACTGAGGAGGCCAGGACCTTCCACACCATTTCTGAGCTGCCAGTGGATTAACACTTGTATCATCCCTATTGGCTCAAGCCCACTGGGCAGCTCTGCCAATTCGACTTTTGTTTAAATTAGGAAAAAGCCCGTGGCTGGAGCAAGGAAAGAAACCAAACCCAAGCTTGCTGTGTGATGAAAGGCAGCCAAAAGGGGACAGCCAGCCTGACACAAGAGGTTGCTGCAGGAATTCTGATCGAGGGGCTACAGCACTGACCTGGCTGAGGGGGCTGAGCCCTTTTTTGGGGGGTGGGTACTCGCTGTCTGGGTGAAAAAGCCTGTGATGGGATCTACAGGTGGATGGCTGAACACAAAGCCTACGTGTGTCTCAAAACCAGTGTTAAGTCAATATCGGGGTTGAGAGGGAAGAGAAGGAAAAAAAAAAAAGACTAAAAAGAGGAAAAGGTTGTCATCTAGGATCCTTGACCTTCTGGATCCACGCTTCCTTCGGGATCTTCATCGTTATAGATGTTCTCAGCCTGCAAGACAGGGGTGGAGGGATTGAGGAAGCACTTCCCACTGCTCTGGACAGGATTCCACCCCCTCAAAAACCTCTGGCAGCTTTTAATCTGCAGATATGTATCACCCAAGATCATTTAACATCAAAGCAGCAACACAAATGACCTTTTCCATAAGAGCCACATCTTCAAAACATTTCCCAAGTTTCCTCTAAATTGTTTTAGCTTAGGAATCTGCCTTGTTAAAGCAGAGGCCACTGCAAGGCTTACTTCAGTCAACACTGTTTTGTATGTATTTAGTAGATCCTCTACTTAGCTGCACCTTCCAAAAGAACCACATGGAAAGCTGCCAAGAACAAAATCTACAGGTAAATAAAAAAAAATAAATAGGATTATGGTCTTCTCAAAGGTCAAGATTGTTTTCCAAAACCTTCAACAGCTGGGAATGTAGGGGCAGCAAACCATTCCCACTCTCCATCCTTAGAAGGGCATTTGTATCATTTACAAAGATTTTATTCCTCAGGACAGTAACTAACAGAAACCTCAGTTTCATTGTTGGTTCTCACACACTGTTTTTCCTTCAAGCATAGAAGGGAAAAATTTTCTTCTGCACCAGCACTTCCTTATTTTATTTATTTTTTTCTTAAATACAAAACAGCTTCTGAGTATTTGGAAACCATTGTTCTGACCAAAGCTAAAGGGGGTTTCACTGTCCCTTTGAGATTTCAGCAATGCTACAAAATGAGCAACTCTGAGAGCTGCAAATAAAAGCAGGAATGCTGAAATCCAGGCATTTCAACACCATCTCTCACCTGCCACTTCCTGCACTCTCCCAAGCAACTCACCATTTGCCAGACTTGCATGATATTATCTTCTGATACAGAACAAATGACCCAGGGCTCGTTGGGATTCCAGGAGAAATCAGATATCTTTGCAGTATGACCACCATGAATAAACTAGGATTGGGGAATCAAAAAGGGGAGTGGTTACAAATCTACCCTTGTACGAGTGAGCAACTGGTCAAAGCAATTAATGAGATTGAAATGACTCACCAACAGCTCTGGGGGCCCATCCTCAGCATCTTCAGGGGATTGCTCTTCTCCAATTTTACTGCAAAAAAAAAGGAGAAAAAAAGAAAAGGTGGGGTGTTGGTTTGTTTTTTAAGGTGTGATGCAATTAATGAACAACATTTTGTGGGGACAATGTGAATAATTTGGGATTTACCTCAAGTCCCAGACATTTAGCCTGCGGTCCGTGCCACTGGAGGCCAGTATAGTTTCATTATGGGGAGACCACTGAACCTACAGACAAGGATGAATTTGGAAATTAAGTTTTAAGAAGCTGTAACACGACACTGACAACAAACACCACTTCACTGTGTGTCCTGAAAGCTCCACGAGAATTCAAACTGACAATAACCCGGAATAAAAATACCCCCAGCTGAGAACCCTGAGCACAGGAGGCAGTTTGTGAACATCCACACACCAGAAAGGTGCCACCTGGAACCTTTCCTCTAACAAAGCCCACGTGTTCCCAAGTGCAAACAGCTCCCAAGGGTATTGGCTGCTCCTTATCTCAGGAAGGATTATTGCACAAGGCTGACCCAGGGATTCCTTCAGCAGTAGGTGCAGTTCTCACACGAAAACAAATCACTGTAAGTTGAGCTTAGCTGCCCAAAAGCTCACATTTACCACTCCTGCTGGAGATAAGGCTCTCCAAAAACACACCACCTAATAGGATCACAGGATTAGGAAAGAACTCAGAATTCTGCACTTCAGGATTTCGTGTGTAGTTTTATTTAGACATAACTACGGTCTGAACTAATAATCCTCCCACCAAAAAGAAATCTCTGCATATTTTCCCCTCTGATTAAGGCACGAGCTGGAGATGGAAATATTGTATCTGCTAAGCACGTGCCACCCACGATGTGAACATTCTATATTTACACCAGTAAAATTAGCAGTTGTTTGTTGTCAGAGGATGTTTTGGTGATCCTGTTAACGGGAAGCAGTTAAACCTTCCTCCAGGAGCAGGCTGAGGAGATGGAAACACTGCAGCCATTTCACTGGGGCCTCCTGCTTCAATCTGCTGCCATGAATAATTTAATGGACCCTGCACTGCTACCATTTCATCCTTCTGCTGTGGTTAAAGCTCCAGAGCATTTCTCTGTTTCCAGTCTGGCCTCCTGGACACTCTTATCTGTACTGGAGCTCTGCAGCCCCACAACAATCACCCAGAAAATGATAAGCAGAGGAGAGAAAAGAATGTGTTTTAAAGGGAAAGCATCTCTAATAAAAAGAGAGTAGAAAAGACTATTTTCCCAACTCTATGTGCATAAAAGATAAAGACATTTTGTTATACCTGAAATATTTCATCTTTATGTGATTCAAAGGAGTGCAGCTTCAGTTTTAGGTTCCTCAAGTCCCACAGAGCTACAGTCTGTGAAAAAAATACAAAACCACATTTTGTTGAAGTAACCAACGTGTACACCCACACTTACACATCAGAAACAGGACAAGGATGTTCCAAGCTCAAGGTGGATGTACCTTATCAGCTGATCCTGTGGCCAGGATGAACTCACTGTAAGGGTTGAAGGAAAGGCAGTTGACTTCAGCTGTGTGAGCATCCACGGAATGACTGGGTTTGGAGGTGTTGTTTGACCGAGTGTCCCAGCTGGGAATGGAAAAACACGGAATTGAAACAAAGGTTCCTGTCCCCTTTCACCAAGGCACTGAGCAGCAAATGGGAAAGCACTTGGGTTGTGAAGAGGTTCCCCCACTTACATCATGAGCTTCTGATCATCAGCAACGGATCCAAAAAGGGATTCATGGAGCAGGTGCCAAGATACATCTTCCACCACTGCTGTGTGGCCCGTGAAGATGGTCTTTGCATCCACCACTTTGCCTTCTTTGGGAACAGCACTGATATCCCACAAGCAGATGGTCTTTGAAACAACAGAAAACTCAAAAAATTACTTCTCCAGACAGATGATCCCTTCACCTCCTCCCCCTCAAACCCAGAACATTCCTGACCTTCCCAGGGCACACCAAGTGCAGGTTGGACCTCAGCTCTATTTAAAGTACTCACATGATCATCAGAGGCACTGAGCAAGTGCCCACTGAGGTTTGGGTTCCAGGACAGCCCATAACCCTCCTTTTGGTGCCCACGAAGACGCAGGTCAGGGTTACACTCTCCAGAAGGATCTGTAACGAGGCAGTGCAAGAACTCCAGTGCCTGGTATCACTTCCAGCACATCCTGGAATACCTGCATTAAGTTTTACTGTGCTTTACTAAACTTTGCTGTGCCTTTTTCAGTAGCCCAGGAGCCACCTCTCCGTGCTTTGGCCTGAGTCACCTGGCCCAGCTGGATGGAGGAAGAGCAGCTCATCTGTCACTGCTCCAAAAACTCCTCCTAAACTGCTGGTGGGATATTTTTCTTTCCCTCATCATCTGTAACTACACTTTTAAACCAACAAAGGTGCTTCTGATCCTCCCCA